CGCGACTTTGTTGCCCTTTTCAAACTCGACGCGCGGGTAAAGATGCTTTTGTTGCCATTTCAAATTCGGTGTGCGACTCAGTGTGAGTTTGTTGCCCCCATGTGATTTTGTTGCCGTTTCCAAACTCGTTTGCGACACAAGCGAACTAAGTCTTACCCCTTTTTTTGCTTTAAGAAAAAACTCTGTTGGGTTGTATTACCAAGGTTGGTGCGAGCATATCCCAGTTCTACCCCCTTCCAGATGGCTTCATTCTATTGGTGGGGAGCTCCACCTGCTCAAAACCAGGTTCAGCGTCCCTTGATTGGTAGAGATTCGGACTTAGGACGTTTCAGTAAATATTATATGGATGTTTTATGAACTTTTATCTGCAACTACAACAACTATATTGTGTTGACTAGACAATTATGCAATGATTTCAGTGAACCTGATTCTTTTTTTTTTTTTTGCAAAGAACCAACTTTGGCCTAGTAGGAGGGGTGATAAGAGCAGCCCCTACTACCAGGACGCTGAGGACGGCGCTGGTTGCTCCCATCTGTTGGTGGGGAGCTGCACCTGCTGAATACATCTGAGAAAAAATATGGGAAAGTCGATACCCACGACCTATGCAGCCGTTTGAACGAGTCGAACGCGCGTTCACGTTCAAACGCACGCATTCAAAGTTCAAACGCGTTCAATAGCGCCACGTATCATACAGTGGGAGAAAACTAAACGCGCTCCCCCCACCCGCGTGCGCATGTCAGAAGCCAGTGTGGGGGGGGCACAGTTCCACAAAAAAAAAAAAAAAAAAAAAAAAAGAGAGTGTGTGTGATGTTTAAGTATATTGTAAACCCCAGTTACCAACTTCATAGTGTTCACACCAAGACATGGTTTTCCCCAGGGACTAGACTCAACATTACCTCCCTATGATGCGTTCCAACGCTTCGCAGTCAAGTGAGCAAAAAACGCCTAGTGCCCACAACATAGATACCAAAGATGCAACGGTTGGTGGGCATGGGGGAAGTGGGAGGGTAGACAAAGCGCAAGCACACCAGCAGGCGAAGTCCCAAAAGGATGCCAAGACCAGCCAGACAAGAACAACATCAGAGCAAAGCAAGCAAAAGGACATCAAGGCATAGGCTGGAGGGCACGGGGGACGCGGGAGGGCAGACAACATGCAAGAACACGAAACAGGCACACAAGCACACGAAAGCAGGCAAACCGAAAAAAATACAAGTCCCAAGTAAATCGGAAGACCGACAAAAAATAAACTGATGATGACAAGATTGATTCGTCGCAGTTGCACCGACTCATCAGGAGGCTGAACCCTCGACAATCTGCGGAATCTCCGTTTTTGATGGTTTGGGTCATGAACCCTTTGACCCTTGTTGAAGGCAGACTGTCCCCAAGCGGAACATACCAATGGGCAGCAACCCTGTGGAGCACCAGGCAACACAATAGAGGCAACACAATAGAGGCAACACAATAGAGGCAACACAGCTGCACAACGCCAAAAACAACTGCAAGGAACGACATGGCACACAGGACATGCAGCAGGGCAACCATGCAGTGAAGCACAAGGCAACACAAGCAGGGCAACCACCCTGCAAGGGACGACAGGGCGAGCGGACCAGCAGCCCGGCAACCGTGGAGCAGAGCACAAGGCACCAGCAACAAGGCAACCATCCTACAGGGCACACAAGCAGTAAACACGGAAGGCACGACCAGCAGATGAGCAGCACGGCAGCGAAGCAGTGAAGCGCAAGGCAACACCAGCAACACGGCCACACCACGCAGCAAAATCAGCAATTCGCAGAGAGCCACACGCGAAGCAAGCAGGACAGGCAGCAGGGCAGCGGCGGAGCGCAGACGAGGACGTCCACACATCCAACACGGAGCAAAGCAGCACGTGACCTACTCACATCACGATTGAACCCCGCAGACTGTTGGTTCCCACCACCCACTGAGCCAGGGAGTCACTCCGACGAACATCCGTCATCACCGACAGGCAACACAGACATCCCGAACCGAGCAGCCCCCATAAGAGTGCGGTAGGCACTCCAAACGAGGAACCACCAACTGTTTGGCACTACTTAAGAGTGCTCAGATGGACACACAAAACACTTAGATAAGAACAGGAGGAGAACAGACAACAGAAGAAAGACAAACAGACATAAAACTGTGTGTGTGTGTGTGTGTGTGTGTGTGTGTGTGTGTGTGTGTG